CAACTGATTTATAATCTGTACGATCTAATAGACAAGAAAAGAATATTTTGAGTCATCGAATGAAACAAACAATAGTCTAAATAAAGCGATATTTTTTTGTTTTGCATATCATTAAATATACTGAATAAATTAGATATGTTTGAAATGTATACTACAACGTTTCTGCAATCGAGTGTGTRTATATATATATATATTTCGCTTGATGATATTTGTTGTTGTTGTTGTTGTTGTTGTTGTTGATAAAAATCAGTCCAACACCTTGTCCCGAGCAAATATAAAAGTAGTATTCTTTACTACGTGCCGTGAAGTGAACGTTATTTTCCGAGCATTTGGCATTACATAAGCACTTCTCTTTGTTTAACTTGATGTAGTACGGAACCGGATCGGATTAATAGGGAAGCGCTGGTTAGGTCTTGCTTTCTCAACTTATTCGCTTTAAAGCTAAAGAAAAATAACTTAACAGCACACTCAGAATCTAATAGGTCACTCCCTTGACTTACCGAATGAATTTCATGGAAACAAAAATACAATTTGCAGTATGAACTGAATAGAATGTGATCGCCAACCATAAATAATACATTTGGGTTTTAACCAGTTTAAATACCGTTAAATGATCTAGTGAGGTTGCTATATCAAGCAATTATTAAGCAGTTAAATGAACAAAACTAAGTGAAAAGACGAAAGATACTTACAAAACAAACTGCTACGAACTTGACGAAGACTGATTTGAATATCACATGCAATATATATTTAGTTGTATACAATATTCACCTTAGAAAATGCCGAAGACGACGTTCAGTTTATCACCTCTATTTGCCAAGGTCGAGTTAGTTTACTTGAAGTACGTTTGAACATAGTCAATGGAGCGGAATCCATTCCACAGTCTATTAACTATGGTTTGAAAGAACTTCGGCTGGGACAAGCTGTTTCTGTACATGGTTCTTGGTTATTGGATTAGATGAAAATACATTAAGCGGATAAAAGAGTTTTAGTTGGTGGTTTGGATCTTTGGTACACCACGAATACATATGGTTATCAATATCAACCTTTTTCATAGTGTAGGTGATTTTTTTTCTGCTACCACGATAAGATGTCAGTTTTTTGTTCAAACAACCAATACCATCTGTCTAAAGCCGTGAAATAGATTTTGGCCTAATCCACATTAGCAGACCCTAATTCCATTGTTTTCTTGTTTATTTGACTATTACGCGCTAACTTTTTTTCTTATCTTAGCTTTTGCCAAAATTCACTTTTTAAATCGATAAACATATCCTTTCATATAAAAAGCAAATTGCCATGAATACCTAAATTTTCACTCCTCTGTGATAATGACCAAGGAGATCAATTCACCATTAAGGTTGAGCAGAATAATATTTGGTAAATTTAGTAATTACACCCCATCCGTGACTGGGATATCGGTTCGGATATCGTCCGAGGACGAACAATGGTCCAAAAAAGCTAGTTACGTTTGCTCGAGAAGCGAAACTACTTCTTTTTCCCACCCACCACATCTGTTATAAGGATTAAAAGCCCGCAAATTAGACCTTTTAACCGATATGGCGACCACCTTGAATTCTATTGTTTAAGTAAGACATTATGGGAAGCCGAGGCCAGGAGGCATGTACTATTGGAAAATATATAGACTGCACAGCTGTCTGGATATCTTTTTACTATTGAACTTGCTGATAGTCGGAACAACATACGAAACACCAAGAGATTATTTTTTTTTACTTGTTTGCCCCCGCTTCGACATCCCATTTTTTCAAGATGGCCGCCGTATCAGTAAAAAGTACTATTGATAGGGATCTATCAAGTCCTACCACATGCAGGGCAGTTTACTTGCTGTACTTACATACTGGTTACAATGTGTTATGTATGTTTTGACACAAAACTTTCAATCTAAAATGTCGCTGATGAGTAGTCCACAAATGACCCTGACGTGACAGTTGTTAAAACATCTATAGAAACATTTAATGAAGGGCGTTTTCATCCAGGAGAAGAGATTTGATAGTTAAAGATGCGAATTATGCTTCTTCAAGAAAATTTTTCTCGGAAAAAATTCCGAGCTCCAGGGTCAGAACATTTTATCTTGTGTGAAGAACTAAATTTAATCAAGGGCATTTTCATCCAGTAGTTGTGAATAATGCTTCTAAAAAAAAACAATTTCTCGGAAGAATTCCGAGCTCCAGGTGCAGAAAAAATTGCATGAAGAAATATATTTCAATCACATCTTTAGAAACCTTCCAAAGTTCTTGCTTTTTTTTGTTTTTTTTTTGTTTTTTTTGTTCTTTGTTTTGCCTATAAAAAAGTTATAGCCAGTATAACCGAACCGAATCTGTGTCCCTCGAGTGACGGAAAGGTTGATAACAAAGCGGGGAAAAAGGCAGTAACTGATATTTTTCCGTGAATTCATTAAGAAAGCATTCTTTTCCCCAGCTGTTCTGAGTCGTATTTGAATATCTACACGGACTGATATCTATTTCAAAAAACGTTGTCATAAAGGCGATAGGCAATAGGAGATAGGTCGTTCTAAGATCCAAGAATAGCTGGAATGACTTGTGTTTCTGCTTCTTATTCTCGTTAAGAACATGTACCTTAGTATTGAGACTGATCTTTAAAATTTTGTTTGTAATCGACACAAATCATTTCCATCTCGGAACGACTATCCCCCACCGCCTTAGGCGATGATAACGTTTTTTGAGAGAAGTGTATATATTACTGAACACGTGGCATGTAAGACTGAGACATGAAAGTTATATGTGAAAAATATTCGATACTTTTGAAGTATTGTTATCTATAAAATGCCAAGCTAAAAATATACCCAAAAAGTAGCGGATGATAGGTAATCTCCTTCGCAGCCGTAATTAGTTTCGGTCCCAGATCCTCACGGGCACTCGGACCAATGCCCAGCACCCCAGACTGATGATCGATTTTATTGAGCAGAGAATACGTGATCCTTGAAACGGGGATTTGTCGAGACCGTTATTAGTAGTAGCACATGTATGCAAAGATCTTGAAAGAATAGACGATGGATAGTTCGCATTCTAATCTCTTCAAAAGTTAAAGTCGGGAAGTAAAATATTTTATATTAGATAACTTTCATAATTAAAATTAAAATCGAAATGAATCTTATGTGCTGGGTTTATTTGATAATTTCTTGCTTACTTTCGTTATTCCTTACCGGCAATACTTCTTTTTATTATTTAAGCCGAGATGAGGAATAATTGTTTGGCGGCCATTTTGTGACACTAAATGACGTCACGCATATTATCAAAAATGGTAATGAACCGGACTGTAGGTAGAGGAATAAAGTCAACGATATACTGTTTTTTTGTGCACTCTCTTCATCAGTGCCCCGTTTAAAGTGTGTTCAAAGCAAGTGTGTGAAATGAATGGGATCAATCTACATGATCTACGGATCATTATTTAATATTTATCTATAAAATTAGAAAGCCCATATACAAATAATTCGTAGAGTACAAACACTATACGTGTGTGATATAAATACCACTAAATACTGCTAAATTATGCTAATCCTATTGTTTTCTATTGTTTAATTAGCACTATTTACTATTAAATAGTGCAAAGTGTTGCACACTTTTAGTGTTTGTACTCTAGGATTTCAATCTAAAATTCATTAATGTATATATTCATTTTTAAAACATTAAAAATCTTTCCCATACCTTATTAAAATATTTCTAACAATAGACCTCTTCCAAATTCGCTGTCAGAGTGACAATGGGCTTGAAGTTGGACTTGATAAAATACAGTAAATATCACAGGTAGCCCAAGCTATGCTTTTGTGGGGATTTTCCTTAGAGTTTGTAATGTGCTCCAAATCGGCTGGATATTAGTACAGACCAAGATAAAGAGCAGGAAAAGACATCGTAAAAAGTTAATAGCATTTATTTCCTAAATTAAAGAAAAAAATATATTCCACATTATAAACTAAGGCTACCTGTGTAAATATCTGAACACATCAAGTCAAACCTCGATTTTGAGCCCATCAGTCAGAGTTCAATCAAGTGTATTAGAGAAATGCATATTCGTTTAGAGGTTTTGTGCATGCAGTTCTAGTCGATTTTACCATCTGGGTCAATATGCAGAGAGCTTGGTAGAACTTGGCTTCGTTCATTGGTTTTGGTCTGATAAATGACGTCTCACAATTGTGACATTATCTGATCTTTTCGTTGTGTCAACTCCCTACACATTWAAAATATAATCGGCTTACTAAGAAATGATTTACAAATTAATATATAACTACCCACACGCATGACCACTCACTTACCAATCATACCTGTCCATTTTTTTATCAATCCATCCATTCATCCATCCATTCATTCAATCGTTCATTTATTTATCATCTATTTATTCATTTATTCGTTTATTCATTTATTTGTTCTCTCTCATTCCTTTATCCATTCACCCATCCATTCCTCAGTACATCAATATATCCATCCGTCCGTCCATCGCCATTCATCAAGTCATATTATCCATCCATCCACCAATCGATCCACCAATCGCCATCCATCAAGTCATATTATCCATCCGTCCGTCCATCGCCATCCATCAAGTCATATTATCCATCCATCCATCCATTCATCCATCCATCCATCCGTCCATCCATCCGTCCATCCATCCGTCCGTCCATCCGTCCATCCGTCCATCCGTCCATCCGTCCATCCGTCCATCCGTCCATCCGTCCATCCGTCCATGCAATAGTTCATTAATCATTTATTCATTCATTTATTCTTTCACCTCACCGGTTTTCCGTGAGAAAAGTTGTGTTCTCGTTCCCATTCTACCATGGCGGCAGGCCTATAATTCGTAATATACGCTCTTCGTAGATTATCAGTGGTATTACCACGTGTATAGTGTAGTGTCCTGCCCGTATGGAATGAGCATGAGCCTGGTGGGAGGGGCTGAGGAACTCCTTCCTCCTAAGCAAAAAAAAAAACGTAATTAATTTAGACCAGTTATTGAATACTCCAGTTTTGAGTTCTCTGTTGCTCATGCAGGTTTAGCCTGGACTTTTAGGTGCAAAGTATTCATATTTTCCATTGAAGGTCCTAGGAATTTCAAAGTGTTCAATTTGTATTGTTAAAGCTGCACACTCTACTTCACCGTTCGTGTTTATGAATATTAGACACTGAAATGAGGGCTATCCCTTAGTCTTTAATCAAGGAACACAGCGGTGACTTGGTACTCGAAAAAAAAAWAWATTTTCTGTTCAGAACATTTATTAGCTTTCACCATGTTTGTTCCCCCAAATTTTCGGAATACCATTTGTAAGCAGACTCGAAGCCTCATTTAAAAAAAAAGCATTTGTGAACAGATCYATTACGTTTGAGTCGAATTAAACATGTTACCCTGTTACATCCCATTGAGTCTGTCTCTGCGTTGCACTATCCATTTTGCCGCAACTTACCGAATTTGAAACTATTCTTAAATATAGACTCTTCCACTTTACCCTAAATTCGCAATCGCTAGTCTAGTTCCCTTCTTTATTAATAGTTTGAGATGGGACAACAAAAAAGAATGAATCGTTAGCACCCTGATAGACTGGATTGAACCTAACACGAGGCAGAATTATTTTAAAATGTACCTCGGTGCAATCACACTGCAAGATATGAGCTCCTTTGGCAGCAGAACGATGTTCTCGCAGAGGCTTTTTGTGCGATCCAGGAACAAACCACATACAACCATTGTCTACAGTGGCGTTATCGAGGGCAACCTAAAACAAACAATTCAGCGCATGTATAAAAATCTGTGATGAACGACATTCATAGGGTACTTAAATGATCTAAATTTTTTTATAAAATAACTGCTCTAAATCTCACAATCTGATTGGTTGGGAGCGCGTGCTTTATAAGAGCACACAGYGTTCGTACTTTCAGTTTCGTCATTCAAGTAATTTGTATCTYATAAAAGAAATAGAAAACTTGCTTGCTGTGCTGTGTGGAGTTATAAAGCACTTGGGGATTGACAGAACACTCGAGAACTGTCGAGAAGCACTCCGCTACACATCGTGCTTCTCCTAACACTTCTCTCGTGTTCTGCCAACCCCCGCGTGCTTTATAACTGCACACAGCACGCGCGCACGTTTTCTATTTCTTCAATATAGATATATTGGGGTAATATTTACCCAACATGTAGCCGTTCGTTTGTCAGGCATATCTGGCCAGTAAGACTCATCCTGGTGCCAGGGGGTGGACGTGTCTGTATTGGGTCCCTAAACAACATTATATTTATTTTAACGTTATTATATCATTCCCTTATATTTTTATCATTATATATAACATGTAGACAAAGAAATAATACTCAAGGGTTGGCACATGGTTTGATGCTACAACATCAGTTCATAGATAAACATCGATAACTTTTTATAGTATTGAGTACCAAAATATTGAAATGCAGATTAAGCTCATTAATAATTAATGAGGAAAACACAACAGAAATCACGACCGTGAAGGGTTTTGTAAATCAGATACAGAATCCTGTTCATTGGCATAAACTTTAAGATGGATTTTCTTGTCCAGATTCACTGATATCTTGAAAATTTTAGCGAAACACAAAGGAACTAACCTAGACGTTTGATAAGTAATATACAGTATGAGTGGCCGTGTTGTATCCAATATACAAACTCTCGGCTACGCCTCGTGGTTGTATATCTGATACAAAGCGGCCACTCATACTGTATATATTACATACAGAGCTATACCTATATCCACTGGTAAGCCATTCATCGAACAATATCACACGATGGACTTTACCTCGACGATACGACGGCCATCTTGCCAGGGGAAAAACAAAACAAAAATGGCTGAAAACACATAGAGTTTCGTGTGTTTTTCTTTCTTTCATGGGATAAGGTGATCGATGTGTCGTCTTAAGGCTGTTGTTATTAATCGACTTCATTACTGTAACAAAGCTTTTTTTGCCCCTTGGACGCCTCATAATGCCTTGCGATCCAAGATGGCCGCCGTATCGTCGAAGTACTCCATTACTTTACCTTGGCTATCAGCATATCAAAATCAAAGACTGCATCAGGTCCGACAATTATTTTGTTAATTGCGCTGACTCTCTCGTGGAGTGGACCCTGAGAACACGAGTTAGAAAATTAGCACTAACGTTAGTCAAATTGTAGTACTGAATATCCGTTTGCAAAACAAATTATTATATCTTTCAGTCGAACATGCTTTACATCCGAAGAGCAAAAACAGCAATGGGTCAGCATCAATATCAGCATATTCATTCATTTATCCATGCCTCCATTCGTCTTCGTTAAATAGGTGTTAAATAAGTGAATGGATTTATATATAATACATCGGACGGACGGACGGACGGACGGACAGACGGACGGACAGAGAGACGGTCGAAGGAGAGTAGAAAGGAATACCTAAACTAGCGTAGGGAGGGGGCACAGGGGGAGAGGGGTAAAATTTAATTAAGTCATGCGGGATTACTGTGGATTTTGCCTGAAAATGGTACATCCCCCCCTCCTATGATCTCAAGACCTCGGTAAACCCCAAAATACTTACTTCCATTAGTGTGGGGATGTAGAGACTGGGCCACATTATCTGACAGATATTTTCTTGATTCTTGTTCTTCTGTGGATCTAATCAAAAACAATCGTAAGGTAATTAGCATTGCCGTAACTAGAACTATATATATATGTGGAAACCTATCAGCCACTATCAGCAAGTAAAAGTTCTTTAAACATTTGAGTCAAAACCAAATAGTTGGATGCATTATAAGATATATACTTACTGTACCATCCAAGGTCTTGCCTGTGCGGGTCGGTGTTGATCTCTCCACTCAACAGCTTCATGTAAAGGTCTAAAAAATGTCACAATTTACGATCACTCTTAGACCATTTTAATTCGCTGACATCCAAAATAACCCCCCCCCCCCCCCCCCC